AAAAAAAGCCAAAAATAATGGGCTGGCATGTTGTGGAGAGCAAAGGCCCATAAACCCAAAATAGCACAAACCAGGTCATCAAAAGTACGCCCAGTACTCCCCAATTATTCGGCAACCCGCCGCTATTACCACCAACCAGGTGACCAAAAGTACACCCAGTACTCCACAATTGTTCGGTAACCCGCCACTATTACCACCAACCAGGTGATCAAAAGTACGCCCAGTACTCCAAATTATACATGAGCATTACTAATGTCATTCATACATAAACATTCATGAGCATCACTCATGACAATCATACATAAACATTCATGACCATCATTCATGTCAACATTCATGAGCATCACTCATGACAATCATACATAAACATTCATGACCATCATTCATGTCAACATTCATGACCATCATTCATGTCAACATTCATGAGCATCACTCATGACAACATTCATGAGTATCACTCATGACAACATCCATGAGCATCACTCATGTCAATCAACATAAACATTCATGAGCATCACTCATGTCAATCAGCTTCAAAAGCTTCTTTTACAGAGGTCCAGCTTCAAAAGCTTCATTTACAAAAGTTCTAGCTTCAAAAGCTTCATTTACAGAGCTCCAGCTTCAAAACTTCACTTGCAAAGCTTCACCTACAAAGCTTCAGTGCAAGGTATACAAATACCACCTCCATACAACCGCCACTTCGGCCCATATATGGATTCAATTTGAAGTCTCCAGCCAACAGACTCTATTGACTGAAAGACTTAGGGGACTACATCATGTACCATTTATTGGGCCTTAACTGGGCCTCATGAAAAATACTTGGGGGACTTAGCCCATTACTTATGTATTGAGGAGCGAGCCCTTATTCTATAAAAGGGACTCCCTCACTTTCATTAAAGAGCACCCATTGTTCATGTATTGAGGAGCGAGCTCTTATTCTATAAAAGGGACTCCCTCACTTTCATTAGAGAGCACTCATTGTTCATGTACTGAGGAGAGAACCCTTATTTTATAAAAGGGACCCCCTCACCATCATTAGAGAGCAACACCGTCAGCTGAGCAACCGCCTCACTGCGAGCATCACTCCTAACCCATCACTTATGTATTGAGGAGCAAGCCCTTATTTTATAAAAGGGACTCCCTCACCATCATTAGAGAGCAACGCCACCAGCTGAGCAACCGCCTTACCGCGAGCATCACTCCTAACCCATCACTTATGTATTGAGGAGCGAGCCCTTATTCTATAAAAGGGACTCCCTCACCACCATTAGAGAGCATCGCCGCCTACTGAGTAACTGCATCGCCGCGAGCATCAACTCTAGCCCATCATTTATGTATTGAGGAGCGAGCCCTTATTCTATAAAAGGGACTCCCTCACTATCATTAGAGAGCATCAACTCTAGCCCATCATTCATGTGTGGAGGAGCGAGCCCTTATTCTATAAAAGGGACTCCCTCACCTTCAAACGTCGCAAGCCGAGCCAACTAAGGCAACATAAGCCACGAGCCGAACAGCCTCACAGCGTGTACTACTTCTAGTTGAACGTCATTTCAAATTAAGCACTGCCTTATATCGAGCATCAGTTCAAGACTGCATCTAGTTACTTCGGCCCACACATGGACTGAATTTCAAGTCTCTAGCCAAAAGACTATATTGATTGAAGACTTGGGGGACTACTGTTTATACCATATTTAGGGCCTCGTATTTAGACCTCGTATAAATACTCGGGGGACGTAAATGTAATTATGTAATAAAGGAATGGGGCAAATATGTAATTAGGGGAGAAGTCCTTATTCTATAAAAGGGCCTCCTCACCTTCACAATTCCTAAGTCTCTCCTCACCCCTCTTAAAGCTCTCACTCTCAGAGCTCTCTCTCCCTTACTTCTCAGAGAAATATAATACAATCAGTGTGGACGTAGCCCAAACCTTGGGGTGAACCACGATACATCTTGTGTCATTTACATTTCACGCAGATTCACGGTCGGTTTTACGTTGTTCCAAGACCTCCGGTTTTGTGCATCAACACAATTCATGCTCATGGTTCATCTTAAACTATCATGTGGAGACCACTTCATGCACCTAAACTCGAAATTAATTTAGATGGCTCGGTGGTGGGTTCTAAGACTGTTGCTGGGTTCGTCATTAGAGATGCTAATGGTTCACCTATTGTGGTTGGCGCCTACAATCCTAGAGAAGCTACAATTTTTGTTGTTGAAGCTCTTGCTCTTCGTGATGCTTTGAGATTTGCAATAGTCAAGGGTTTCTAAGAGGTGTGTGTTGAAGGAGATTCCAAACTTATTATTGATGTCATTTTGAACAAGTGTAGTACACCTTCCGACAATCATTGATGACATTATATCTCTTGCCAGTTCTTTTTCTTTTATCTCTTAGTCACATGTCTTTGTAAGACGAATTTTCTTGCTGATGTCATTACTAGTGTTGACCATTCGATATAGGATACTTATATTTGGGATAGTCATTTCCCATTGCTGGTACAAATACATTTTTGTTTGATTGTACTGAGAGCAGTTCTACTAGAGGTTTTTCTCTTTAATTAAATTTCTTTTTCATAAAAAAAAATTAATGAAAGTGACTTCAAAACTTTGAATTTTAACCAAAAATCATCTAATAATTTTATTTAATGATAAGAACAAAAAAAAAACATAAAATATAAACATGTGTCAGCGCACGTCCCCCCAACCCCCACCCTCCTTCAATATAATTAAATAAGAAAAATACATGAAAATATTATATTATGTATGAATTAGCTAACTATAACAACCATTTTTGGGTTCTTTTACAAAGCAAGATAACACAAACACACGTCTGGTACTATAATCTTGTAAGGTGTATTTTCATGCATATAATAAATAATATATAAGAATGTTATATGTATATTTCACTCGTACCTACTTAAGGCAAAATAAATAATATACATATATACAAAGTGTAGTACCGTTAAATTTCATAAACAATGTAGTATCGTTAAGTTTCATAAACAGTGTGGTAAGTTTTATAAACAGTGTAATAAGTTTCATAAACACTACAGTAAGTTTCATAAATAGTGCAATAAGTTTCATAAACAGTGTAATAAGTTTCATAAACGGTGTAATATCGTTAAGTTTCATAAACAGTGTAGTAAGTTTTATAAACAGTATGTGTGAGGGCACGAGGGTCCGTGCGTCATTTTAAAAAAAAAAATTTAGTAATAAAATTATGTCTTTTTTAATTAAAATTTAAGTTCTTTTGTTATTTTTATTAAATTTAACTCTTTTTCATTAAATAAGTTATAGCATGATTTTTTTTAATTAATAAATTTGGCCCAAACCCTTTTTATGAAAATTTTCCAAAAAAAAGGCTTTAAAAATTTTCCAACTTTTATGTATCCACCATTTAATATATTTTTCTATTTTTTGTGATCTTTGTACGTTAGTACGTGTGGATTAAATATATATATATATATAAGATAATGTTTGTGAAGTTTGCATTTCATTTCCCTTTCCAAATTGATACTTAATTTTTCGAATATTTCTATGAAAATATCAGCAATTTCGTGGATATTTTAAACACGGATAGTAACAGACAAAGCAAAGGTGAATCAATAGCCAAAATTAAAAGTAAGATACAAGATTTTTTTTCGATAGAAAAAAAGTAAGATGCACGATATTTTTGATAAAAAGAAATAGTGCTTTCATGGACTTTCTAGTTGAACTCTTGAACCAAAAGCCAACCTAAGCAAAGGCGAGTCCTTCACAAGAAACAGATGGATTCTGATCTGAAACTTGCACCTGCCTCACACTAGTCTCAATCTCAAATTTTCTCATTCTTTATTTTTTCTAATAAAAATATGGATCGCCTACAATGCGACGTCCCACTCAGAAATACGAATAGTAAGCAAGATCTAACAGGTGGCTTTAACTCCTTGTATGCAAAGATCTAACCCCCTAATTTTCATAAACCACTAAGCAGTACGTACCATGGAAGAAAAATTACCAAAATATATCCGAAAATACTTCCCAACGCACCTTGGGTGTCATTTTGTTTAGGGTAAATCACCAAAATGGTTCCTGAGATTCCAAATCGATAAAAGTGGTCCATGAGATTGTCCACCATCCATCATTTTGGTCATTCCGTTAAAAACTCCATGAAGTGTCCCGGAGCTCTTGGCCAGAAGTTTGGACAATTTTCAAAGCTTCATAACTCAATCGTTTCTTAACCAAATTCGACCCATAATATATCAAAATGAAGATTGGAAAGTGTAGAATAAGATTATACCTATTTCGAAGCCCAATGGTTGCCGGAAAATAGCCTTAAAGTTGACTGGTCGTCAGATTGAAAACTCGCCGGAAACTGGATAAACTTTAAACGTTCATAACTTCTTCAATACTCAACGAAATCAAGTGATTCAAAAATGAAAATCATACTTCTCGACGAGTCGAAGAGAATGGTACCTTTTTCGATGGCTAACTCGTCGTGGTATCGCCGAAAAAGGGCTCAAAAGTGGCTAACTCGAGACCAAGACAGCCACTTTCAAGCTGTTTTCCGGCTAAACCACGGCGATTTAGCCCTACAAAAAAAACACCATTCTCTGTCTCATTGAGAAGTATGATTTTTGTTTTTGAATCACTTGATTTCGTTGAGTATTGAAAAAGTTATAAGCGTTTAAAGTTTACCCAATTTCCGACGAGTTTTCAAGTTTTCACTCAGACCAATCAACTTTGAGGTTATTTTCCGACAATCTACAGTAACCATTGGGCTTCGAAATAAATATAATCTTATTCTACACTTTTTATCTTCATTTTGATATATTATGGATCTAATTTGACTAAGAAATGATTGAGTTATGAAACTTTGAAAATTGCCCAAATTTCTGGCCAAGAGCTTCGAAACACTAAACGGAATTTTTAACAGAATAACCGAAATGATAGATGATGGACAATCTCATAGACCACTTTTATCGATTTAGAATCTCAGGGACCAAAGTAATGAGTTATGCAAATCTCATGAACCATTTTGACGATTTGCCCTTTTGTTTATTAGTAGGCGGAGGGGAGTCTTGCAAAACCAAAAATAAAGCCACAAAATGCATCTTCATCCCCACTCTCCAGCACCCAAAAAACTACATTCTACATTATTTGACACTGGAAATACATTTGAATTTGCAACCAAAAAAATCTCCTACAGCTTCAGGATAATTTAGTCCCAAAACATCAACTCCGCTTTAACAAGAGCAACATACAATGTTGGTGAGACTTAAATTGACCAAAGAAATTTTTTTATTTTTTTGTTTTTCTATATTTTTGTCAAGTGAAGCGAAAAAAATTCCCCTTCCTTCACTTCCCTTCCCTGTGGCTGGTCACTCTAATGACCGAGCTTACGCTTGCGATTTTGTTTAGCCATCCGTTCCCTCCTTTCTTCTTCTTCTATCAACCTAGCCTGCTCTTCGTCCTCCCTTCTTGCGATTAGCGCACTGCAACATCACAACAAATATATCATCTCAGAAAGGCTCATACACCATAATGTACGTTATCTATCAGATACAAGTGCAGTTAGAGTTAAGAAATCACATAATCATGATACTTTACTGATAATGAAACGCCATGCTTACCTTCGTCTCTCCTCCTTCATAATATCTTCAAAGTTCGCCTCCATATCACTATCGTCGTCGTCACTAGCGTATCTTTCTGGTTGACTACAAGAATTTTGGATTGATAATTAGAACAATATTATACAGTTCCTAACTTCGTTAACCACCAAAGTTTCAAACCAAGATGAAAATTCTTGAAATGGGCATCTCCCAATACGCTCAGCTCTAGTATGGCCAACACCAGGCAACTTTCAATCACTGATTTTACAAAATCATTCCATAAATTCCAATTTGTTAAGATCAGGCATGTCATCAAGTTAAAATACCTTCAGGCTTCAATTGTATATAAAAAAAAATGTATTCAACGTAGCAGAATGAAATATAAACAAACATATTTGGCGGGCATTTAACTTTTACGTTGTTAACCATGAATTGACCAAAAAGAGCTAAACTGCATCCAGTAGCCTAATGTCATTTCAGCAAAGCTGAATTTTGAAATCAACCTCAGGCTTTACAACCATTTATAAATTAAGAACAGAAGAATAAAAATTAATGAAAACGCGACTTACCGAAACATTTTTCTGATCTCACTTCTAAAATCCAGACCCGGTTCATCATCATCTGGGTGCCGTCTCATAGGCTTCTTTTTGGGAGGATGCTCTTGAGACATAGGACGTGACGAGATTTGCCTTTGCATTTGTGGCTTGTTTATGTGCTAAATTCCATGAAAAGTTAACAGATATTATGCACTTATAAAAAAAACTACAGAAGTAGGTCTCTGGAAAATTTGCCATTCAAGGGAAAGAAAATACGTAGCAGATGGTGGGATTCATACCTGAGGTCTTGACAATCCTGATGACTGTTTCAGTAACACTTTGGGCTTATTAGATTCTCGTACTTCTTTTTTTTGTTGCAACTGCTGCCTTGGAATAGATGACTGCAACTTTGAAAGAGGTGGTCTGGGCACACCAGACATGGGATTCTTTAGGCCTGGTGTAGAAGCTTTCCTCTCAGTGGTTGAAGCAGGCATCTTAGACGGTAATCTTTTTGTCTCTAGAGGCCGGCCAGGCCCATTTCCACCTATGCTACCAAGCTGTCTTCTCGAGTCCATTGATGTTGAATCGGGTCGTCTACTGGCAGAACTCAACTTATTGGGCCCCACTTTAGAATGCATCTGTCCATTCATAGATACCAGTTTCCTTTCATCACGACGGCCAGGTACAACTCTACCATCATTTGCTGAAGGTACATGTCTGCCATTATTTGCTGAAGGTATATGTCTACCATTATTTGCTGAAAGTACATGTCTGCCATTATTTGCCGAAGGTACATGTCTTCCATTATTTGAGGAAGGTACAGGTCTGGCATTATTTGATGAAGGTATATGTCTGCCATTATTTGATGAAGGTATATGTCTGCCATTATTTGTCGCCATTTGACTAGACCGCACCTCTTTAACATCAGCAAAAAACCCGTATAAGTTCCTCAATGAAAATAGAATGTTCAATGACCCATAAATAGAGAGCCAGATAAGAGGTATTAGATCACAACACACCAGAATTTGGAACAGAGACATTTTGAGGTGGTCGATCCTTTGTAGAGGCTGGGGGCTCTGCATCGTCAGAAAGTAAAAACGAGTAATCTCTTGTATCCTTGATCTTTTGTACTTTACTCTTAACCTGCACCTTCCAGAAATTCCATTAGCACATAATAAGGCAACTAGAAGACTAATTCAGAGGGAAAACACCAACAAAAACAATTTGCTCCAAGCACCTCATTAATGACTTTGGGTTTCTGATCATTTGATACATATTTCGATCCAGCAGAGGTTGATCCAGAGCTCTTCTTGTTCTGCAAAGGCAAGTGCCATCATCAAATTAATGCACTATAACTTATAGACATGTTTGTGTGTTAAAACAAAAAAGAAGAGTTGCAACAAAATATTTTTCTGCAACAAGATTTTAGGCATGTAAAAAATCTTATTAAGCATATGATTGTAAACATTAGCATGTTCATAAAATGAAGAGAGTTCCAAGAAAAAAAAAATTTTGTTACATAAAAAGGAATAGCCAATGCCGGGGTTAAAAACTAAACAAAATAAGCAGCAAGACACAAATCAGGCATGCCAAGTAAGTAAAGTTTCAAGATATAAACCTATATGGGTAAATCTAGAAATTCCCAGACCCTCACCAAGAATCGAGTGATCGGTAACCCTTTCATCAAATTTAAGATTAGAACCAATAAAGGAGGTGGAAAGCAAAAGCAACTCCAAAATGGTTCTAGCAACAATAAGATTGTAAATTACACCACATGGAAAGAAGAATCTCAAATAATATGCATGTCAAATCAATTTCTTTGAACAAACTAAAGTTCCCAAAAATTTCCACAAATAACAAGATACGACATAACACACAAATTACAGGGCCAAAACTATCCCATAATCATTTTGGGATCAAGACGGCATAAGTGGACTCATTATATGAGTAAAATGTGGACCAATTGTATATGACAGGTACAGAAAAAAGTCAATGTGAGCAAGTAAGGTTATGAATTTATGAGCTATATCAAAAAGAGGGAGTAATAATACATACATGATGGACAGAGTTGGTAGCACTGGATGTTAGGTGCTTGGTTTCTAACAACGATTTGCTTTCTTGAATCACTCTCTCAGCAATAACTGGTTGAGATGGGCCAAAGAAAGATCCAAAACTGCAGAATAAGTAGGGAAACAATTCAAAATCAATTTCAAGACTTCTATTTTACCAATTACCACTATATTGTCCACAGAAAAATTATGAAACAAATCATCTGTCTGATAACCTCATCACAAAAAACAGAAAACAAGGAACTGCAAATAAAGTTGCAAGGATGACACTCTTCAGAATGTATTCTCATTTCTCTATATTACTTTCAGACGGTGATATCCCTGGAAAAAAAAACATTAGCCTGTCCTAGAAATTGCAACTATAAAACCTATATCGTTAGAGTCTCTGGTAGAATGCAAGCAAATAAATACATTACAGAACTATTTTAGTTGCATCACTTACTGCTTCCCTACAACTTCAGATAACAAGGCCAGATATTGTTCATCAAATAATCATTGGTTACTTACAATAAGGAACCATTGAACCTAGTAGTAGAAACAAACAGAACCGCCTGCCTTGTATTACTAAGAAAGCATGGATTTTCCACGAAGGAAAAACAGCGGTCATATAGAAGGAAAAACGGTGGTTATATAGTAGTTACTCACTTGTCATAGGGGAGCTTCTTCTTTTTATTACTGGGGTTGGCCAAAGAAGAACCACTTTTCTTCTTTCGTAATTGTTCTTTCAAGCGTTGTCTCAACTCAAGGTATGCCAATGCTTCCTTGGTAGGCTTTGGATCTTCCTCTTCCTCTTCATACTCTTCACCATCCTCATCGTCCTCATAATCCTCATATTCGTCGCCTGACTGACCATAATCCTATCCCAAAAAATTGTCAAACTAATTTTCTCCAAAAAATAATAGAGTATCAATATCGAAAATTTACATATGATAAAAAACAAATAGACGAAGATCCGAAATTTGCTTACATCTCTATCATATCCCCGCATTTCCCTCTCGAATTGAACAATTACAAATGCAAAGTACCTGAAAAATTACAAAAGAAAACCCTAATTTTTATTATGCTGAACTGAAACAATTGTTCAAAATCGGCAATTTTCGTCAAATCAAACAATTATAACCAAAACCCATATAGGCTCTGTTTGATTCCATGGATTTGGCATTGCATTTGTGCCCTAATTTTGAAATTGGCCAACCCAATGCCGAATCTGCAGGCCTGATGCATAAATTTCATTCCGAAACTATGAAATTCCAATCCCAAATCTCCTTAAACTGCAAAATCAGAACGAAACTACTCACCTGAAATTCCTTTCAACCACAACGCCGATCGAAAATCTTGAGGCCTCTGAAATTGAGGATAATCTGTGCGGAGCCGCTAAAAGTGCGATTCCAATTCGTCTGCCTTCAAGCCCTAGGTATCGAAATCCAAGTTCGATTGAAGACAAATGGATACGATGCGATCAGAAATCTCGAAGAGAGAATCTGCAAGCCCTAATTTGTACAGCTTTGGGGTTCGACCAGTTACTCTGAAATGGAGAGTCCAATTTTCGGAATAAAACTAGCAATAGTGCCCGCAGCATAAAACCCAGAAAATTTAAATCACAATCTAAACTAATGTTTCCTCTCCTCCTCTCCGTGTTTGTAACCCCTTGCAGCATAAAACCCAGACAAACAAACCTTCACACAACCTCAACAACTCCTCTCATAAAAAACTACGAATCCATTTAAATCCAATAATTACCAATCCATGTCCGAATAGGAAAAAAAGCAGAAGCGCAAAAAAATTACAGCAACGTTGCAAATACCAGCAAATCAGAGATTTGCCAACTGAAGAACAAAAACGCAAAATTCTCCTTTAACAGGGAAAACCCAAGAGAGCACCACAATTGACAATAAAAGGAAACGATTAAGGTTTCATCAAAACAAAGGAAAAACCAAAAGAAAATGATTATAAAATATACCTTAGTTGGATCACGCTTGTTCCACAGCGGGCTGCGAAGACGCCACCCTTGAAAAGAGGTAAATCGGCCAAAAACCCAGCCACAACCCAGAAATCTCAAACGGAAAAAAGGGGAAACAGCAGGAATTCTTTACCTCAATTAGAGATGTCGAAACCCTCGGAACGCAAAAAATCCCAAATCTAAATAGACGCACAACGGCCCGGTAACCACAAAATCCCTTAAACCACGAAAATCAGCAACCCCGCGAAAGAAAGCACGGATATCACAGGGAAACAGAGGATTGGAAGAAAGAACGGCAAAACGAAAAGAGCAAAAGCCGAAATCAGGAAAAGCAACGAAGGTACAAAACCCTAACTCGTTAAGAAGACTCGAAGTCGAGAGAATAAGATGAGCGATGCGTGGAAAACAGGGACACAAACGGAAAGAAAACAGAGAAGCGAGGGCAGTTCCGTCCGGACACTGGTGATCTACAGTACCGGGGAATCTCACGTTTAGTATATATGAATTTAAATACATTCCATCAAGTAAATATGGTACGATAGGTGAGCTATTCTCATTACGCCACATCACATCAGTTTATAACCTAAGTATTGTACTTTCCCTTTGTCTCTCGCTTCTCCGGACAGTTTGGCAAAAATTTCAAAATTTCATTTTTGTCATTGTCCCTATTTCTTTTCTCTACGTTGTATTCAAGGTTTAAAAAGACATTAAGCGCTAGACGGGTAGCCAGTTGGAGCTTCAAATCTAGGCACAGAGCTTAGTGCTAAGCGAATTAGGTGAGTTCAAATAAATTTATTATATATCATTTATATAAGTGTTAATTTATACATAAAAATATATAATTATATTAAGATAACAAAAACTACAAAATAAAATGATATATAGGTTTAAAGTATTAGAACATAAAGAAAATGTGGAAGACAAGCTTAGAATATGTGTTCAGTATTCAATAAGTCTTTTACAATTTATTAAAAAAATTAAAATTAAAATAAAAGTTGTATATTTTTTGTCTAAGCTAGAATCGCGATTTAGACAGATTTGATAGGACAGACTCCTAAGACCATCTTCAACTCTGGCCTATAACTTATTTTTCCCCTTCTGTTCTCCCCACTCCCGAGACTCCTAAGACCATCTCCAACCCTGACCTATAACTTATTTTTCCCTTCTGTTCTCCCCCCCAACAAAAATCCAATCCAACCCAAGCTTAAAATTGGACCTAAAACCTAAAACAAAGCCAAATTTAGCACAAGATTTAGCCCAGGATTAGTGGGGCAGGCCCACCACATATGTATATTTTATTTAGTAAATTCGTTGAATCCAACGGTTAAAATCTAATTTGATGAAATTCAATGGTAAAAAAAAATTAACGGTCTAAATTTAAATCTAACAGCTAAAATAATAATTTTTATTATGCTGAACTAAAGCAACCATTCAACATTGGCAATTTTCGTCAAATCAAACAATTATAACCAAAACCCATATAGGCTATGTTCGACTCCATGTATTTGGCATTACATTTGTGCCCTAATTTTGAAATTGGCCAACCCAATGCCAAATCCGCAGTCCAAATGCATAAATTTCATTTCGAAACTATGAAATTCCAATCCCAAATCTCCTTAAATTGAAGATTAGAACAAAACTACTCACCTGAAATTCCTTTCAACCACAACGCCGATCGAAAATCTTGAGGCCTCTGAAATCGAGGATAATATGTGTGGAGCTGCTAAAAGTGCGATCCAATTGATCTGCCTTCAAGCCCTAGGTATCGAAAACCAAGTTCGATTGAAGACAAATGGATACGATGCGATCAGAAATCTCGAAAAGAGAATCTACAAGCCCTAATTTGTACAGCTTTGGGGTTCGACCGGTTACTTTGAAACGGAGAGTCCAATTTTCGGAATAAAACTAGCAATAGTGCCGGCGCGTTGCTGTGGGTGAAAACTATTGGATGTAAAAATGCATAAAAAAAACATGAGAATATGGTGTAAAATGATATGTAAGCCAGTTTTGTACTGAGAAGGTAGGCACACATCTTAATCAAAATGAAAAATGATGTCTAAGGATTAGATCTAGTGACACACCCCGATCTAAATCAATGCGTGATGGCCGTCACGTGAGGGTGACGTAGTGTTGACCCTAGAAACTACAAAGCCTACGTGGCGCGCAGGCCGAGTAATCTATAAGCTAACTACGTCCTTCGGTGATTGCGGGGCGTGCCAACTCGTCGGCCGAGCTCGGCCGATGAGTAAATTTGTTGATGTTGCGTTGGGCGCGCGGCTGACTTCTGCGTCTTGCGATTGCGGCCGAGAAAGGAACACGTCTCGGCCTCTTGGGCTCTCGAACCTGAAGACAAGGTTACTATTTTTACGAAGCTCAATATCAAATTCGGCTTTCAACGTGCCGAATGTAGTCACTTGTAACACCTCACTTCGCCGAGAAGGCTGATGAGATGACCTCGACCAACAAGGATTCAGAAATCCTTCTCGACCGAGACTTGGATAGATAATCAATCGTTATCGCCGCAGTGCTGTTGATGCCAACGGAAGATACTGCGAGACCGACTGATTCTACGGTGACAGAGCTATCTATGCCGACTTAAGATATCACCGGTTGCTTCCACAGTGCTGTTGATGCCAACGGAAGATGTGTCAGCAAAAAAGGAAAAAGAAAAATCACAAGTTGTGAGAATTTGCGCAGGGCAATTTTGTATTGATTTGCAGGGGCTTCAACTTGGTGCACTGAGTCTTGTATTTATAAGGTTGGATATCTGCTAGCTTTGGCCTGACGGATTTGTATTTCAATTGCACCCAAAGACTTCATGATGGAATATGTGAATCTGAACAACAATAAGGACTCTACATGCTAACCCTATTTTATTCCCACTTTGACTTATATTTATCCCATCAGAAACTTTCTTATCTCATCAGAGCCTAGCCTTATCCCATCCAAAGCCATCACTTCAAAGTCAGACTCCTAATGCAACTATAAACCTTTTTTCTTCCACCACGCATGTCCATATGCATGCAACTTCATTAATCCCATTTAATTATAATATTTAGCATCCTGCCAAAATATTTGATGACTATGATTCTTCCATATCTGTCAAGATATTTGAACTCCTTCGTCCATATCCATTTGTGTTCTTTCTTGACCAATTTGCTTTGACCATACAGGATAATAAAATAATATTCAACGGCCTTGATTACTCGGGCCGATTGTGTAAATTCGGGCCCAAACACGTAGCCATGTGCGCAGCGCGGAAGTGATAATGATATAAAAATGCGAGTGAAAATGGTATGAAGATTGGACGTACATATTGTACGGACGAGGAAGACTCGAGAGAGAGAGAGGATGAAGGTTGCACGTGACACACCCCGATCTTAGGATCAAGGCGTGCTGGCCGTCACTTGAGTGTGACGTAACCAAAAGTGCGATGCGGAAGCAAAGGATATGAGAAATATGAAGGAATTTAAAACAACTACTAGCAATAATATCCAACTAGCATGCTAGAGTGAGTTTAAGTGTGCAGTACATAATTTCAGAGCATAAAAACTAGGTGCAGTCAAGTAGGACTATAATTAAATTACAACACCCGTAGGTGAGTCCTACATGCAGGAAGTCTGTCAGAACGCCGAAGAAAACCTCGTGAGCCACCAACTGCTAACTAGAACCTAGAGGGGCGCAAAACAGAATTGAGTGGGTTAGTAAAACCAAAGTTTTCCAAAACATTTCATTTAAAACATTTCTAACCCCTCACTGTAAAACCTGTATACTTTCCCAGAAAATAACATAATAGTATATAAAACCTCATACGTCACAAATTACCAATCTATCACAAATCCAGGAATATGCCATGCCATAAATGTCAATAACAAAACATGGATGCATCAAAATAACAGGTGACATAATGAATCAACTGGAGACCCTGCAGTTGGTCCTGTACGGTTAATTCGATAGCTCAATATCCAACCCAGCCAGAGTCACCACGGTGACCTATTCGACACTACTCTGCACATAAGTCAGAACTACCTGAAGTAGTCTGTACGACAAGAATGGTGTAATGATATGCTCTAGTGCTTCTCTCATCAATCATCTGCGCGCATAATCTAAGGTCACCTACTAGTCGGAACCACCTCTAGTGATCTGTACGACTAGCATGTCGGAACCCTTTCATGGTCTGTACGACATGCACCTACTTGGATCCAAGGTGAGCGTGCGGTGCGGTGAACAATATAAGCACTAACACCAGGGGTGCAGGTTATGAGCTCTCAACACAATTCACATCATCAAGGATTCACATGAGTAACATAAAACTCACCTGATACTCACCTGTGCGTCCACAGCACCAATTCACACATATATATGCATCAATATCAAATTCATATAATTCATAATATGCATGCATGGCATTTGAAAACATACTTTCACATAAATTAAATTTTTGGGAAAATCAATAGTATATAGGTATATACTGAAAACAAAACTGCCCACTCACTGGTAAGTCGATGGGTCGTAACCCCCGTGACGTCCCTGGATGCGCTCGTCCTCGGGATAGGTGTCACCTATATGCGAAACAACTATAAAAACGTTAATTTAAGCACATAACCGACAATTCGAAATAACTTCTCATACAATGCTCAAATTGGGTATATGAATATACCACATCGACCTACTCGACGTCACGGACGTCGAGAAATTTTTAGAAAATTTTTCTGAAGCTACACGTGCCCCCACGCGCGTCTCCTACCTCGGCTCGCCAGATTAGTTTTTTCCGATGGCCGGAAAACTGGAGATTTTTCAATCTCCTTGTTCTCCGTCGTTTCTCAACCATTTTCTTCGTATTTTATATCAAAATGAAGCCCTAAGCATGTAGTTTCACATTATACTACTTTAAGGCTCTAAAAACCACAAAATCTCACCGGAGAAATTCCAAGAAAATTGGCCAAATTCGAACTCAGTGATCCCGACGTCCAAAACCTTCAAACGAAGCACTCCGAGCTTCCTTGGGACCTCACTAAGCTCACAACAAGCTTAGAATTCCCTGAAAATCGACATATTACGATTGCATGAATAGTGACATAAAATGGGGGTTCGGGTTTCACGTGATATCGAGGGTTCCAAGTTCTAAAAAGTGCACCAATGAACTCACAAGGTTGCAAGGATCCACAAACTTACCTTTTTGATGTCGATCCGTGAAAGTTGGAGGGTTTTGGTGCCTTGTCCGTACGAGTCGAGAGGGAGAGAGGAAGAACTGAGAAGGGAAGAGAGATAAAGGGCACGGGGAAAGGGACAGGGTGTCCCGTGTGTGTGTGGTCCCTCAAAACCATTCCACCCTTATTTTCCTAACCACATAAATTACAAACCAATTTTAATCCAACTTAAAATATTTTCCAAAAGCTTGAAATATATGAATTTAGTCCAAATAATATGTCACACACACACATACCTTAATACCCGTCAAGGGTAATTCCGTCATTTCACGTCCTCGATATAAAGAATCCCGGGACGGGCTGTGACAGCCCGTGTGTGTGTGTGTCTTGATTCGGATTGGGCACCCATATACAATCCTTAAGCTCTAATTAGGCCACCAATTATAGGCTAAAAATCATCCAAAACAACCCCAAATTTCAATTGGGTCCAAAGAAGTCGGAAATGAGATTATTGGTCCATTTCTTTAGTCCATTTATACATTCACAACCCAATGCTCAAGGGTAAAATTGACATTTTCACGCTATCGGGGATAAAATACTATAATTCAGGATGGGTCATCACATCTAGTATATTCCGAAACTATGAAATTCCAATCCCAAATTTTTAGAGTTGCAACAAAACGTGTTTGGCATTGAACTTAAAAATTATTTTTGAATATAAAAATTTGAAAACTTGTTTGGTTTAACTCTTGAAAACAATTTTTCTTTTCTTTTCCAATTATGTATTTGTTTTAAGATATACAAAACATATGAAATTAAACCTTAAACATATTATTTTTATATCCATGTGCTAATACAACACATATATGCTCGATAATCAAAATAAACTTCAAGTCTTAGATAATAAATATTACATTAAAACATTCAAGAAAACCAATAAACTTTGAGACTAATTGTTATTGACGTAATCAAGCCACATTGATCCGGCTATGTGGTCTCTAACATCATTCATAACATTGTTGTCATTCAAATGCATGTTTTCCCCTTCTTGATTCGCCCCCGAGCTTTCTTCATCTACCACATCAACGTCATTGCCTTTAAATTGTTGAAACAAAGCATCATTCCTTGATTGCATTCTAATGAAATTGTGCACGGCACAACATGCAACGAGAATGCGTCTTTGCTTCCTAATTGGATAATTTGGTATCAACTTTAGAATAGGAAAACGATTCTTAAGCACTTCAATGCTTCGTTCAACAACATTACGTAGTGATGAGTACCTAAAGTTGAACAATTCCATTGCTCCTCTTGGACGTTTACCTCTTCCTCTAAAATCACACAAGTGATAACGCACTTTGCGATATGGTGCAAGAAACCCACTCATGTTGGCATAACCGGAATCAACAACATAATATTTTCCTATTCCAAGAACAATGCATATAAGTATTTCACTTGAGCCAAATACAATAAGAAAAAAAATTAAAAGCAGTTTGATATGTTTCAATGACTTCGTACATTCTTTAGGCATTGGAAACCTATTCTATTCTCTTGTTATTGCATCCATCAACACTCTTGAGTCATTAGCTATTCCTTCCCATCCGGTGTAGACATATGTGAACATCATGTTAAATGAACATGCCAACATAATATACACTAACTTTTCTACCTCGGTATGAAATTTGTTTTGATGAAGGAGCCCATGCAGTGATATGTGTTCCATCAATAGCGCCAATGCAATTCTACCATTTTATAGTTCAAATCATAACATGTTAGTACACAAAATATAGTTTACTTCAACCTAAGTTCTTATTCTAGAGCTTTAAACATGTATCTTTCTAGGTTTTGTAGAAAAATAATAGTCATGATCTAACTAAATAATAAAATGTACTTTATAAATACATTACCTGAAACCATGAGTCGTACTTCGGATTCCCAAAATCTCAGAAGGTGTCACATCCATATTTGGAGGTTGAATTATACAAGTACCAAGTCGACATATTGCTTTGAGAACTCGGTTAAATTGTCTTAACACAGTCTCTTTAGAATGTTGAAAAGTTTCAGCAATTACCCTGTTGCTGATTGTATAACTGATAGTAAACAAAAACATGCATACGGCCTCCTCCACACAAACTGATCTATCATTTTGTAGAAAGTTCAATTCTCTCAATGTCGAGCATAAATTCTTGAACGTGTTTTTATCCATCCTTACAATATCAAATAACCTATGTGGATGTCCATTCAATAAGTCCATCACATATTGGCGGCCTGAAAAATGTGAAGTCATGCATGACTTTTTATTTAAACGTGAGAAATGGTCATATAGTCTTGTAACTAAAAGCAACTCTCCAAGTGAATCATCCAAATCAGAGGATGAATCACTTTCTGAACTTGAACCATTATTGTCCACTTCATTTGAATCCATTCTATATAGACATACAAATAATTATATTATACAACTATCAAGTAATTAATAGCTAAACAAAGTGACAAGACAATACTATAGGATAATAACATAACATTAATCATATTACCAAAACTAGTAATTTCCATACTCATTTAATTATAGTTCATCATAAAGCAAAATATCTTAATACCAAACGCAAAAGCATATCCATAGTCATCTTACTAACCATTATATAATACAATAAATACCTTAATATAAGTTGCCCAAACTTCGTCTGATGCTTGAATAGTGTTTGCAACAGGTTCCCAACCCATCCCAGTATGATTAACAAGCTTGGGAAACTCACGGTGAATCTTCCGCAACCGATTATATTTTTGCTTCGATTTTTCACGAGTGTATCTCTTACCATATTTGTCAAACAACTTCATGCCAATAGCATCCCACTGATTTTTTTCTAAAGTGTTGGTTTGCAAGCCTTTTTTTGTCTTTTCCTACAACATACTAATAAAGTAGTTTTCAATAGGTTTTGGCCAATTAGCTTTATCATCAAGGTCATTTTCAAAGTCCTTGTTTGACATCCCTCAGACACGTGCTAGAACAATGTAAACAGAAACATCGAAATTAATAGAAAGCTAAAAGCTACATTTACTTAAGACCAAAAGACTGATATTCACTTTCACACATTTCCTACTTAAAAAGTTCTCTAGCATTTTCTGCAGTACAGATTATTAATGTTAAAACTCAAGCAATTACTAAAGATAATAGACTAATATCCAATCTATCTGCATAAATATTAAGTTCACTAAATTTGATGTTACTAGGTCAAAGAAACATCATCCTATTTCTATACCAATACATCAAGTTTCTCAATACATTTACTTCAGGTGATGGGGATCAACTACCGAAGGTTATGGACGCTCTATCAGAAATTTAGGGGGCAATTAGGTAACCACTACAACTATAATATTATAATATATACATATAAGAAATTCTTTTTCTTTGTAGTTTTGTTGCATATGTAAACTTGGTGTTCTAAAAACTGAAAATAATATAGTACATTGCAATAATATGAATGGTGAGGGTAACGATAAAAGGTCAAACCAACACCAGCATTTCCAATGAACAAAATGCAGAGGTATACAATGTTGACCATAGCAGCAAGCACGTAACAACATACTGAAAGCTTACAACTTTGCAGATGGTCATTGTGACTAACAATAACAGTGATCATAACAAAAAAGACCTTTTAACCAATGTGGATACAAATTTCTTCCTCCTTGATCTTGGACAAAATTACACTTACAAAACAATTAACACCTTAGGGTCAAGGCCAAGAGCCTCACGTGCCCACGATGAATTGGGAGGGGGGCTTTGGCCGAAGAACCTCCGATGCCAAAGTTAGAATTTAGAGAGAAAAATGTTTAGAGAGTTTTTGGAATTTTGCAAGAGTGTGAACCTAGGTTTTTATAGAAAAGTGGGTAATATTTATAGGGCATGGCCGATCCTCTTTGGAGAAAGAGTGGCCGGCCCTTTATATATATTTTGGGTGTTATTTGGTGATTTAATTAGCAATTAATATATTAATTAGGAATAAATATATTAATTGGCTAATTAACATAATAAAAGGAATGTTTTTTGGGAGGTTATGTAATGATAGCTTAATTGTTTAGCTAAAAGAGAGGGGAAAAAGGTAAAAATATTTGGAATGAGATATGTTTTGGGAATTACCTTGTAAAAGGGATTTGATGAGATGAATTTTGAATTGTTACCTTTTTTTGGGCATTTTTGACTTGATTGAAGGATGATTGCCCGCTGCTCGCGCGTAGGAATCTCGTTGTACCTCAAGGGTATTTTTGTCCTCTCTTGTCTAGGAATTCACGTGTTGCCTTGTGATTATTTTTGGCTCCACAAATGCCCCTACACCTGTTCGGCTACTCGCAGAAAAGGGCAACAGGTGTAGAGATTTTCTTGCCTTAGGAAACTTTGAATTGTTTCCTATTTTGATGATTATTCTCTCTTTTAATAGGAAATTAGATCCTTCTAGGAAAAGGAAATAATTTTTTCTCAAAGCTTATTTAAGTCCATCTTAAATGGAAATCAACTTTGGAGAGCAATTTATTTTACCCTACAAGAGAGAGAGAGAGAGCTTAGAGGATATTTGTTCCCCCTTCTCTAACAATCTTCTACATCTTGCCGGTGCAAATGATCGTCTTTCGTTGCTTGCTTCGTCTTCACGTTGCTTGCTTCGTCTTCACGTTGCTTCTAGGTAAGAAAAATTTAATTTCCTTGTCTTCATAATTTTTTGGAAGCCTCGGGGCTTGAAATTTGGCCTGACGGAAGTCGAGGATTTGTGAAAGAGTGGCTTGGGAGGCCACGACAAGGTTGTGTCGTGTGCACCTTCATATATCTTTGGGCGCTGGCGTGAGAAGCCAGGTCGTGGGGCCTGGCAGTTTTGCTGGGCTTCTGCAGCTTGGTTCCCCATTTTGTTTTTGCCGAGATATGCTCCTTTTTTTTTTGAACAACCCTCTAATGAATCTTCCTTGTACTTTTTGTTGAATTCCTTTAAGTATGTCTTCCTCGAGTCACAAGAATGATGATGGTGTGCCGCCATTGTATCGTCAAGGTGGGTCTTTGAACAAAGTGGGCTACTTCAAAGCTGCTCACTTCAAGATTAGCTCCGATGATTTATTTAGAGACTTTCTTGAGGCGTATTGGCATGCCATTCCGTCGGGAGTGCATGTGAAGCGAGTTAAGAATGGTCGCAGCCGGGAACCATGTAGTGGAACTCGGAGAGCCATTAAGTTTCACCCCTACTATTTTGTGTTAGGGTTTACTTTTCTTATGCCGCATTTCTTCCAAGAAGTGCTACGCTCCATAAGATATGCCACCGCCCAATGTTCTCCGAACGCGGTCCGTGTGATGGTGGGATTCCACAATCTAAGCCAATTCTTTGACTTAGATCTAACCGTCAATGAATTTTGGTACTTCTTTGACATAGATCACATAGATGGAGTTGGGCAGCTATGATCTCGCCATAGGCTTTTTGATAATTCGAGCAAGGGAGATCATGATTGGGCCAAAGAGACTTTGGAGATAAGTGGAGAATGAGAGTCTGATTCTTCCCTCGAGCTACGTGTACCAATGGTCTTCGTATCTGGTAAGCAAGCTGCTTAATCTTCTCGGTTGCTTTGCTTTAGTGCCAAGCTACTATTCAATTTTCTGATTGTCTTCCGCTGTTTTTGTAGATTCAGAATTTGGCTCCACTCCTAAGGCTTTTCCAAACATGAAAAAAGTGAATGTTGCTATGGGTATCCCTTCCGAGATGACTCTTTCACCCAGCAAGCACAACTCGCTGAAGAGTTGGAGAAGGTCTCTATCTCAAAAGATTATCCGGATCGCATGGTAAAGATTGGCACCACTTTGTCACCACCCATTCGGTTGACATTGATCTCTTTTTTGTAAGAGAACACTGAGGTCTTCGCCTGGTCATACGAGGACATGCCAAGCATCTCTCCCGATATCATCTGTTATTGCTTAAGTATTGACCCCAAGACCAAGCCAGTGAGACAGAAGCGAAGATCTTATGACGCTGAATGGTACGAGGCAATGAAGGCAGAAGTTGAAAAACTCAAAGGCATAGGCTTCGTCCTCGAAGTCAATTATCCAACGTGGGTAGCAAATGTTATCCTTGTTAAGAAGAATCCGACCAAGGAAAGTCTCCTGCTCCAAAAGGTCTTGTGGATAATGTGTGTCGATTACACCGACCTAAATAAAGGATGCCTGAATGATAGCTTTCCTCTTCTTCTCATAGACAGACTTATAGACTCTATGGCAATGTGTGAACTCTTGAGCTTCATGGATGCTTACTCAGGATACAAGCAAATCCTCATGAACCCTCCGGACCAAGAACACACAGCCTTCACTACTGACAGGGGACTATATTGCTATAAAGTCATGACCTTCGACCTAAAGAATGCAGGAGCAACTTATCAGAGACTGGTCAATTCAATGTTCGCCGAACATATTAGGAAGAGCATGGAAGTTTACGTTGATGATATGCTAGTCAAGAGCAAACATGCTGACCAACACATCACCAACCTATCTGAAACTTTCACCATTATGAAGAGGTATCGAATGAGGTTGAACCCCAATAAATGTGCCTTCGGCGTAGACTCTGGCAAATTCTTAGGCTTCATGATAAGCCAACTAGGCATTGAGGTTAATCCCAAGAAGATCAAAGCAATCATTGACATGAAGGAACCGGTAACTTCAAAAGACGTCCAGAGCCTTACTGGCAAAGTGGCAGCCTTAACTAGGTTCATCTCTAAGGCCACAGACAGATATGCTCATTTTTTCAAAGCACTTAAGGGAAGTAAGAAGTACATTCGATATCGGCTTCAGCAGTAAGTTCCGTTCTCATTCGAAAAGATGGTAATGTCAAACGACCTGTCTACTACGCTAGCAAGGCCTTACAAGATGCAGAGACACAATACTCCAACATTGAGAAACTGGGCTACCACTTTCATAACAAATATATATGAAGGAGGAGTTTTGGGCTACCACTTAGAAAGGAAAATGGTGAAGTTTTGTTACTTTAGAAACTTAGCTACTAGCAAGACACCTCATTTGTCAACTCCCTCGACCGGAGACTTGGGGGACTCCTACCATATGCTACTGCACCTTGATACTTGGAAGTCTCACGACCATTCGGGAAGTTTTCCTCACTCAGGAAATTAAGGGAGCACTACCTCAACATATATGCTTCACTCACAAAGCTTCAACATACAAGCTTCAACAAAAGAAAAATTCAAAGAACTTAGTGAAGAAGACTTTGGTATATTTAACATAATACGTTGAAACGAAGCAAAGCTTATTTATTCATATCTCCGATAAGTTACAAATATGTACATATACATGAATCAAAATAAACAAACAAGAGGGAACCTTCACAAAGGTTGCTCAGGAGAAGTCTCAGCAGTTGGCAGAGCCCTAGAAAGAGTAGGCACCGGAGGGTGATCATTCGGAGCCTCAGTACTGGGAAGAACCCCAGAAGGAGGAGGCACCGAAGGTTGATTATTTGGAGCTTCATTACGCGGTACAGCCCCAGAAGACGAAGACAATAAATGCCTTTGGAACAAACCCACAAACCTCTGATGATCAAGTAAAATCTGACCATCAGATTCCTGCAGCTGGTCAAGCTTCCTCTTCATGTTTGTAGCATAGTCATGTGTGAGCCTGTGCAATTGTTTATTCTCATGCTTGAGCCCTCTAATATCCTGTTTGAGACTTATCACTTCAGCCGCCAATGATTCAACTTGGCGGGTTCGAGCAAATAGGCGTTGGGTCATATTAGACACAGAACTTGCACACTGAATACTGAAAGCCAGAGAATCCTTAACAACCAACTTATCAAACCGTTTGGAAAGTAATCTGTTATCTTTGGGAGTGAGAATGTTTCTGGCCACCACCGCGGTGGTCATATCATTCTTCATCACAGAGTCCTCAACGGTAAGAGGACCAGTAGGGGATAAGAAGGATGAGCGCTATATGTTGTCTTGATGAGACATAGTTGTCTCTTCACCAAAGTTCAAGTCAAAATGACAGTCGGATGGGCTAGACATTTTCAGAAATGATGAAGGAGAAATGAGGTTCAATAAATATCTGAAGTACAAAAATAAGGGGAAAATTCCTACAAGCAATAACTCTCTGAATGTATTTCTTGCACACAATTGGTGTCCTTATAAAAGAAAGGGCAACAAGGCCGTTGGTTCAAAAATCGAAGAGGCACCACTCTTCGGATTTCGAAGAGGCACCACTCTCCACACGCAACATCAGCTCATCCGGTACCACAGATAACTTTGCCAAATATCTCTGACAAAGTTTAGATGCATAAATTTTGAAGGTCCAGCTACCCTACTATTACCCACAAGGGTAAAGGAATAGCACCACTGCTTGATAACTGGAAAGTCCCTATGTGTGTCAACCTTCGTGCTCTGTGGCAAAGCAGACTGGCAAAAATGTCCAACCTTTACTCACATTCGAGAAAACACTCCAAACAAGATTGCTTGCTCAAAAATCGAAGAGGCATCACTATCCGAATCTCGAGAGCTAGACTCCCAACAGGATTACTTGCTCAAAAATCGAAGAAGCACTGCCCTCCGAATCTCGAGAGCCAGACTCCCAACAAGATTACTTTATCAAAAATTGAAGAGGCACTGCTCTCCGAATCTCAAGAGCCAGACTCCTAACATGATTACTTTCACAAAAATCGAAGAGGCACCACTTTTCGAATCTCAAGAGCCAGACTCCCAACATGATTGTTTTCTCAAAAATCGAAGAGGCACCGTTCTTCGAATCTTGAGAGTTAGATCCCCGACAGGATTGCTTGTTCAAAAACCGAACAGGCACCGCTCTCCGAACTTCGAGAGCCAGATACCACAGACCACTTTTTCAAAGTGCTCTGACAAAGTTAAAACATGTGAATCTTGCAGCTCCCACTACATTGCTATGACCGAGAAGGGTAAAGGAACAGCGTTACTACTCGCTGTTGGGACAATTCATATATATGTTGACCTCAATCCTCCGCAGCCACGCATACCTGCAAATAAAAAAAAATGCTCAACTTTAATTCACATCCGAGAGGGCACTCCCAGCAGAGTCTTTCGAAATACTCAACTTCTTTCCCCCTTCGATAATACTTATGCAAACAAATCACACCAGAGCAAGAGTATCTCATATCACCAGGGTTAAAATCAAGAGTATCCCATATCATGTTTTTTCTCTGTCTTTTCCTTTGCCCTTGCTTTTACCTGCAGGACAAGGAGAAAAAACGCAATCAATCGGAACCTGAAATCAAACTTCCGATCTGGAACTAATTGCCTGGAATCTTTGCATGGTTGTTTGCCTAACATTGCTCTGGAGTACTCATCCTCAACTGTTGTCAAGCTCACGAAGTCCTTGGGCAAATACCTCAGAATAGTTGATACGATATTGACGCTTTATACTAAAGCTGCCACGCATGGATGAGTCGCTCAGAAGTAGTGCTCTGAAAGACCATTTACATGCAAAGGTTGCATTCCACTCATGCATCGGGGACAAATGCTGTAAGAGATTGAAGCAGAAGGATCAATGATGAGCTGGAACATATCACTATAGCACGATGCCCTTCCTGCAGAACCACACAACCCAGACAGAGGAGTCTAAATCAAATCTAAACCCAGCATTGCTGCCCTATCCGAAGAACTCGAAAAGCTTCAATAACCTTTCGTTGACACCATCGCTAAAGAGCAAAGCTTCGCCATATCACACCCACTACTTTGTCGACAACAAAAGTATCCCATATCATTAGGGTCGAACGTACTCTAGATTTGATGGACTTGTTTTGACCCTCAAATTCTTGAGTCGGCCTTATACTTTGGAGGAAACCAGAAAACCCTCTAGCTTAGTTTAAGAATAAACATGTGGAAAGTTACTTTTTCAAAAGCAAAAATATATCATATCATCTATTCTCCATTTGCTTCTCTTTATCCTTGTTGCTGTTTATGACACAAGGAGAAGGAGAACAATCAACCGGAAGTCGAAGTCGAACCTCCGATCCAGGTTGCTTGCTTGGAAGTCTGATTGCTTATCTTATCTGTTACCTCTTTCGGTAAATCTCCTAGCTCGGCGACTTGGGGGACTCCTACTATAGGGTTTGTATCGCACTTGACCAAGCCCGGAAACTACAAGTAAGCTTCAAGTGAAATTGATACATTACCTTGTGCATCTTCATCGGTTAAAGATACCACCCTTGGATGAAGGAAAAGTACTTTAAGAGAAGAAGTCACATCTACATATGAGACAGATAAGACAAGTGAAAATGATACCACACTTCAGTACTTAGAAGTTTCGTAATTATTCAATGGCTTGGATCTTACAAGTCCTTAACCGAGGAGATTCCCTCACTCGGGAACTTAGGGGAACACTGTTTGTACCATACTTGACCAATCCCGAAACTACTGAGCACCAGTCAACGTTATACCGTCAAGGACCTAGAAGAGTTTCCCTCCAACCAAGAGGCCAATCACAGTGCGACACGTGTCGACATTAGAAGCCAATCATAGCGCAACACGTGTCAACATCAAAAGCCAATCACAACATGACACGTGTCAATGTCAGAATGAAATTAGAAACTCTCTTCTATAAATAGAGATCATTCTCTCACAATATTTCCTAATGTCATTTGTACTAAATCATTCACTAGTACTCACTAAAGGAAAGCTTGAACCTATGTACTTGTGTAAATCCTTCACAATTAATAAGAACTCCTCTACTCTGTGGACGTAGCCAATCTGGGTGAACCACGTACATCTTGTGTTTGCTTCCCTGTCTCTATCCATTTACATACTTATCCACACTAGTGATCGGATTAATCTAGC